CCTTTTTAAAAGATATGTGTGATTACATTTAGAGCCCACTTGAGTAATTGAGATCGGAGGAATATTCTTCCATATCTTAAAATTCTTAATTATATTTGCTAAGTCTTCATTGACACATAATATAATGCTCATAGGTTTCCTGGATTATGAATGGATGTCTGGGGTGAGACATTACTCATAGTTCCACAGTCCACCCCTTGGGCCCTGAGTATACACATTTCTTCCACATAGAAAATACATTTATCCCACCTCAGGATCTCCCAAACTCTTTAACATATATCACTGGACCAAATTTAATTTCTTCCCAACATTATCACCCCAAAAGTCCAAATAAGAGTTTAATGAGATATGAATCTGGGTATATGCCATTCTGGGACAAGATTCCTTTCCATTCCATTTCTATTCTATTTCATTCCATTCAATTCTAGCTAGAAAATACAATTTCTGCTCCTCAAATACAGTAGCAGGACAGGATTGGTTACAAATGATGGGCATTCCCATCATAAAAAAAGAGAAAATGGAAGGAAGAAAAGAGTTAGCAGTACCAAAAAACTCTGAGACCCAAGTAGGCATGTCATTCGATTTCAAGGTTTAGCAGTAGTCCTCTGTAGCTCGATGGTCCCGTCTGAGCCGAAGTTCCACCCTCACAACCCAAGAGTCTTCCCTTTGCATTAACCTCCTTTTCACTCGGCAAGCAGCATGAGCTTGCAGCTGAGCAGTCGCATCAGTCTACTTCCCCGCTGCAGAATTCTAGAAATCCAAAACTTCTTTCAGCTTGTCCTGTGCTTGTCATCTGTCTCTTTTAGTCTAAGCTGGAGTATTTCTGCTGGTACAGGTAAAATATTCTTTATCCTAAATGCTTGGAACCTGAGGTGTTTTACATTTTAAAATGGGAATACTCATATATACTTTCCTGGCTCAGCAAGCCATCATTTACCTAAAGGCTTAAATTCTGAATTTAGAATTCAAACATCAGAATAAGGTATAACTGTGGTTGGTTCCATCTGGAGAGAATTCATTCCTTGGCAATCCTGACTTCAAAAGGCTGTGGAAATTTCTTGGTAATCCTCATAGCACTACAACCCTAATTTGTTGGTTTGAATGAAAATGGCCCCCAAAGATCTGAAGGTTTGGTGACCAGGGAGTGGCACTCTTTGAAAGGACTAAGAGAGGTGGCCTTGTTAGAGGAAATACGTTACTGGGAGTGGGCTTTGAGGTTTAAAAAGCCCAAGCCAGGTCCAGTGACTCTGCCTTTCTGCTGCCTGTGGATCCTGATGTAGAACTCTCAGCTCCTTCTCCAGCACAATGTCTGCCAAGCATGACACCATGCTTCTCACAATGATGATAATGGACTAAACCTCTGAAACTGTAAACCAGCCCCAATGAAATGTTTTCTTTTATAAGAGTTGTTGTGGTCATGCTGTTTCGTTTCAGCAAAAGAACAGTGATCGAGACAGCAGTTGGTACCTGGGAGTGTGATACTGCCATGACAGGCTTGACCATGCTGCTTACTGGTGGAACATACTTTAGATTAGGAAAGCAGTTGAACACTTTAGTCAGGGCCTAATGGGCCATATTAATAGTCAATTTTGGTATAGGATTTGCTGAAGGAGGTGGAGGCAGAAGGATCACAAGTTTGAGGCCAGCCTGGACTTGGCACCATGGACTACCACTCACCAAGGCTGCCCTGGCTGTAGTTGTTATTGAATGCCAGATCCAGAAAAAACAGAGACTAACACTGAGCCTCAGATATGGCGGGCTGACTACACTGGACTATGTCTTTCATAGAAAGGCCAACATTTTGTTGTTACTAGAGTAAATACTTATTGTGGTTATGGATTTGCCTTTCTCGGATGCACTGCTTCTGCTAAAACCACCATCCATGGACTTACAGAATGCCTTATCCGTGGTATTCCACACAGTACCACCTTTGACCAAGGAAAGTCACTTCACAGCCAGAGAAGTGTGAAAGTGGGCCCACAATAATGGAAGATACTACTGGTCTTACCATGTTCCCACAATCCTGAAGCAGCTGGATTGATAGGAAGATGAAATGGCCTTTTGAAGACAGAGTTACAGTGCCAATTAAGTCACAGAAATATCAAGAGTTGGAACAGGATTTTCCAGAAGGTGGTATATGCTTTGAATTAGCATCCAAATTATGGTATTGTTTCTCCCATAACAAGAATCCATAGGTCCAGGAATAAAGGGATAGAAAACAGAATAGTTCTACTCACTATTACCACCACTGATCCACTAGGAAAGTTTTTGCTCCCTGTTCCTATAACCTTTAGTTCTGTTGGCCTAGAAGTTTTTATTCCACAAAAGGGAGAGTGAAAATTATTGAACTGGAAGTTCAGACTCCCCTCTGGACACTTTGGACTTCTGATGACCTTAAACCAACAGGCTAAGTGTTAGGAGGGGTGAATGATCCAGATTACTAAGGGGACATTAGATTGCTGCTCCACAATGGAGGTAAGATGGGATGTACTCACTCATATTTGGTTTCTAGCCATAAATAAAGGACATTGAGCCTATAATTTGTGATCCTAGAGAAGCTAAATAAGAAAAACATATAGGCATCCTCCTGAATATTAACCTTCATCAGGCGATGAAAGGAGACAGAGACAGAGATCCACATTGGAGCACCGGACTGAAATCTCAAGGTCCAAATCAGGAGCAGAAGGAGAGAGAGCACGAGCAAGGAACTCAGGACCGCGAGGAGTGCACCCATACACTGAGACAATGGGGATGTTCTATTGGGAACTCACCAAGGCCAGCTGGCCTGGGTCTGAAAAAGCAGGGGATAAAACTGGACTCGCTGAACATAGCGGACAATGTGGACTACTGAGAACTCAAGAACAATGGCAGTGGGTTCTTGATCCTACTGCACGTACTGGCTTTGTGGGAGCCTGGGCAGTTTGGATGCTCACCTTACTAGACCTGGATGGAGGTGGGTGGTCCTTGGACTTCCCACAGGTCAGGGAACCCTGATTGCTCTTCGGGCTGACGAGGGAGGGGGGCTTGATCGGGGGAGGGGGAGGGAAGTGGGAGGCGGTGGCGGGGAGGAGGCAGAAATCTTTAATAAATAAATAAATAAATAAATAAAAATAAAAAAAGAAAGATTGTGTCTCGAGTCCAGGAGATCCTTACGATGTCTCTTGGTGCTATTATGTCCTGTGATGTTATTGGGAAACTACAACCACTTCATCTAGGTAGGATGACAAACGGTACAGGACCACTCAGGAATAATGGTATGGGTCACTCCTCTAGGAAAACAGCCAAGACCTGCTGAGGTGCTTGCTGAGGGTAGAGGAAATACAGAAGGTGTAGGAGAGGAAGGTAGCTATAAATACCAGCTAAGAATACACAAACAGTTGCATAAATGAGGATTATAATAGGCATTTCTGTCATAGTTCATTAGGAATACATTTGTAAAGATATTTGTGTTTTCTTTCCTCAATTTCTTTATCAGGTAGTCTGACAACAATTAAGAGAATGTCAATGATTATCACATTTAAATTTGAGATAATAAAAGGATATCCCTTGAGTGCCATTGTCATCTATTCTAAATCTGCATTTGGAGTTGTAGGAGGGTAGTCATATTATGTTGAGCATTGTTATGACCTGGTTAAATATAATAAGTTTGTGGATGTACGTAGGATAGTTATATCATACTAGGCCTGGTTATATCATACTTACGACCTGGTTACTGTTTTTCATTTGGAAATTAATCATGACATAAGGAGATATGATTGCTTGTCAAGTGGACAAGGGGTAGACTTGTGATGGCTACTACATCTGGAATTAAGTAAAACCCCCAAAATGGCTGGGCACACCTGTGAGGAATTTTTGCTTAAACATTTGAAGCAGAAAGATTCACTTCTAATCTTCATCTTCGAGGTGGGAAGACAAACCTTTAATCCAGATCTTTTGAGGTGGGAAGACTCACCTTTAATTTGAGCTATACCGTCTGCTGGAAGCTTCTATACAAGTCTCCCTCTCTGCCTGCTAGCTCTCACCCTCACTAGCAAGTCCACTCCTTCACTGGCATTAGAACCTATTTCTTTGAGATTCTGTTGTATACTGAAGACCAGTTGAGATGCCCAGCCTTATGAATAAAAAAACTACTGGATTCTTGACCTTCCATTCATAGGCACCCATTGTTAGACTAGCTGGACCACAGCCTGTAAGTCAGTCTAATAAATCCCACATATCTATTCATTCATTAATTCATATATATATTCATTAATTCACTCTGTAAGTTTTGTTATTCTAGAGAACCCTGACTAATATACTCAGTCCTTTATTTCTGTTATATCAAAGCTAATTCTGTAACCCGATATGTCCCTATGATTGCATTTGGAGTTTACTTCAATAATCTAGAGTAACAGTTTCAACTCAAGTTTCTTAATTTAACTACACCTGAAAAATTCTTTTGCCATATAAGGTAATGTTCATAGGTACTAGAGACCAGTACCTGAAGTTCAGAAATGTTGAATTGTCTTATTTTTTTACTCCCAGCCCTTGAATCACTTTCAGTTAACAGTGTTGCAATTTGTCTAATACAAAAATTCATCATCAAATTTAATAAAATAATAACTATTTACAAAATATAGTAAATTAAGGAATTATTATAATAATTTGTTTACTACATGAAAAAGTATAAAAGGCCTAAAACAAGTTCCTTGATCACTACTCTATATAAAATTAGCGTGTCTTCAAAATAGAAATATAAGTCCTAAGAAAGGGGAGAACATGGTAGTCAAATATACATTTAGAATAAGGATATAATATTATCTGAAAACAAGTATGTGCTACATGACAAAGTATGCATAAAGTACATCTAAAATTATCAACCTCAAAAATGATGGGTTCAGAAACTGGAATTCCAGAGACTAAATTCCTTTTTGGATCCAATTAAAGTAGCAGGTTAATAGAAAGAAACCAGCCAGCATCACATAACACTTTAATTCTAGTAAGCTGGCCAACCTCCTTACCTAGACTGGAATAAATGTGGCTAAGAATACGAGCTGGCTGTACTCTGATAGGGTACACCTCGGCAATGGTCTCCACATCAATTCCTTTGTCCTTCAAAATGGCCTTGATTTCTTCTGTTTCAGCTAGAATGGACACTATCGGAAAGAAAGATGAAGTTAACAGAAGGTTTTTGTTCAGTAGAAACTTTAAAAATATTTTTTAGATTTATTTCATGTGTATGAGTATTTTGCCTATATGTATGTCTGTCCACGCATCGTATGCTACCCTGGTGCCAATGGAGGTCAGAAGAGGGTATTGGATCCCCTAAAATTGGAGTTATGAACAGTTATAAGCCACCATGTGGATTCTGGGAAGTGAACCTGGTCCCGGTAGGTCCCCTGGAAGAACAAGTGCTTCCAATAGTTAAGCTGAGTCATCTCTTCAGACCCTTAAAAATATTTTCAAGTGCATAATTTCTTTTAGAGGAGGAAAGAGGAGGAAATTATTGCTAAGGAATTCTGACTAATCAGTAATTATTCTAGATTAAAATATTACATAAATGGGAAAGTAATAACACGACTAGAGACTTGATTTTTGACTAGGTACCTATTTGTGCCTACTGAATGGCACTTTCAGTATTTATGAGACTCCATGTTGAAATGGAAAATTTTAACCACAAGATGGCTCAGTATTTAAGAGCTCTTGCTTTTCCAGAGGACCCAGGTTCTGTTCCCAATGCCCACATGGTGGCTTAGAACCAACTATCTGTAACTCAGTTCCAGGAGATCTGATGTCATCTGAGGGCACCAGGTACACATACTGGTGCACAGACATACGTGAAGACAAGGCACCCATATGCACTAAAATATAAATAAATAAAGGAAGGTAGCCTGAAAGAGCTGGTGGCTAACTGGACTTGAAATAATGAGTAAAATGGTCAGGAGGAAAAAAATGAATGAGGGGCTGAAGAGACAGACCAGCAATTAAGAGCACTGGCATCTCATCCAGAGGGCCCAGGGTTAGTCCTCAGTACCCACATGATAGCTCATAAACTTCTTTAACTCCAGTTCCAAAGGATCTGATTCCCTCTTCGGGACTCCACAGGCACCAGGTACTCACATACATCCAGGCAAAATGCCCATACGCATAACTGTTTTAAAGTTGATAGGAATGTTGGGGAGGACAGTAGCAAACCTACACAGACTTCAATGTTATAGTATGAAAGATCTTACCAAACAGTAAAAGACATGAAAATGGAAAAGTAGATAGGGGTTAGGCTAATCATGGAAGAATAGGTGTTATTTTAAAGTTTTGTATATTATTGTTGGGAACTGTTTCCCAAGCTGCGTTCTATAGAACTGCAGGGTTCTATAGGGAGCAATAGAGTTGTTTACAGGAACAGAAGGGGTTAAAGGAGAAGCAAGCAAATAACCCTTTGAGACACTAGGAGTACATTCAACCCAAGCAACTAAATTCTTGTTTATATTTATAAAATATTTAGAGTCAAATGTCAGATGCTACGGATATATACATAGGCATAATGAGTCCTGATGGAGAACAGAAAGGAGTTATTCTGAGAGAGGTGATGGTAAAAATAAGGGAGAAACTGTTTCAGATTAAAGAGACAGCATGTACAAAGTTACAAAAAGTTAGCTTTTATTGTTTTGCTTCCTATTGTGCTAGGGAATGAATCCAAGCCTTCACAGAACAGTCAGCCACTTGTACCACTGAACTAAACCCACAGCTCTGAAAATTCCTTTGTAATAGGAATGGAGTGTGGAGGAACAGTGGTGAGAAATGAAGTAAAATACAAGGTCCAGTGTTAGATCATACAGAGTCCTTGTAAGCCATACCGAGAGAGCTAAGATAGGAAGCCCCTGCAGAGTTGTACCTTAAAAATAATACACTCAATAATTAAAGAATGAATGGCCATTTCTTTGTGTGGTCTACAGTAATTTTTAAAAGAATCGAATGAATTGACAGGCATTACTGGGCCTCGACGGAAGGCAAACATCAGTTCAAAATTAATGTAATGTAAGGAGGAGATGTTGATAACTTACATTAATAGTAAGCTATTGGAATTGTCAAAAACAGGATGGATTTCAGAATGACTGGAGAAGTAAAATTCTAGAACTTGTTATATAAATACAGAATATCAGAGAAGAATAAATATGAATTGAAAGTGTTCATTTGTGTAGCTGGGAGTATCATGTGCCATTTAATGATAGAGGTGCAGAAGGAATCGTAGGCATAGATGATGCAGTAGGAGGAACCAGCTGATCAAATTTAGTTATGTTTAGTCTACAGTGCATGGAAACATGTGGGACTGTCAGAAGACATTAGAAACAGATGAGATGGGACAAAAATATATTATCAAGAGAAGAGGACCCAGAATATAACTTTGAGAAAATTCAGGACTAGATAGATAGCAAAGTCTGGGGGGGGGGAAGGATAAGTTATTGTCTTATAGCTTATATTTTCTTTCTAGCACAGGAAGTAGGGTCATCATGTGAAAGTGAAGGAAGACTGAAGAAGGTGGGGAATATGACTAATTATTAGGAGCAAGACAAGTGGTAGGCTATGGACAGAATTCCCAGAAATACCAATAGTTCAAGGGAAAAGGAAGAAAAGAAAGTCCAGAATAAGGTAGAAAAGTACTTAAAACAGGTTGAAGGAGATATACAAAAGCATAACATGGACACTCTGGAAATTCAGTTTCTAGAATGATAAATAACAAGTTGATCTAAAAGATCTGCTGCTAATATACCGATTATAAAATATCTATTAATACTGACAATACCAAGGTCTCTGGAAACTAAGCAAGAATATTTTCAGAGTATTAAACCAGGCTCTAAAGGTCTGGAGAATTAATAGACTATGAAGAGACAGAAATATCAATGTGAAAAGAAGCCACAAATGGAGATTAACATAGTAGATAAAGAAACTGGATTGGGGGAAGTCTTAATATTTCAAAAAGGATTGTTTGTAAAGAAGAATATAGGATGAAGCACCAACAGGGAAATTTGTATTGAATAGGAGAGCACCTTTTTCTGAGACTAGAAAAAAGAAAGCAAGGATGGGTAAGAATGCTGGGGGTGGGAAGTGTTGGGAAATTGAAAAAAAATCAGAATATTAGAATAATCAGGCATGAAGTATCAGTCCAAATATTAGGTTGAAAACAGGGCACAGCTGAACAAAATCGAGTACTTTGTTATACTGGCTGTGAATAAAGAAAATACTGACTAAAGATAAGAACAAAGACTAACAAACCAGAAGTTGAGTTGGGAACCATGGTTGTTCAATGCCACCACTCTGCTCATCATGTGCTTTTCCCTTATAATATCTTTTAGTAGGTATAGGATAAGAAAGTGTAGACCACATGATTGCTCTAGAACTATAACACTTTGGGAGATAGAGCAGAAGTATGAGGCAGCAGTAATTGGAGTAGTTAGATGATCAAAATATTGAGATGATCTTTAGGTACAAAGAGCAGACTTACAGAAATTAGAGACAACTTTAAAAGGAAGAAAAAGAAAGCTGAGATGCATTGTTAGCAGAACACAAGAATACCTATAAGGTCCAAAATTTGACCAGTGGTGTGTATGGTGGTTTGAATGAGAAGGGCCCCAGAGGCCTTATTTAAATGCTTAGTCTCCATTAGTGGAAACATTTGGGAAGGATTAAGAGGTATGGCCTTTTTGAAGGAAGTGTGTCAGAGGAAGTAGCAAAAGTCCACGTCATTCTCAGCTAGTTCTCTCTCTTTCTGCCATCTATCTGTTGATATGAATGTATGCTCTCAGCTAGTGCTCCAGCATCATGCCTGACTGCCTGTTGTCATGCTCTCCAATGTGATGCTCATGAACTCTAACCTTCTGGAAGTCTAAGCCCCAAATTAAATGATTTCTTTTATAAGCTGCCTTAGTCATGGTGTTTGGTCATAAGAGCAAAAGGAAAAGTAACTAGAATGGGGTACCAAACATAGAGGTACAGAGAAAGGGTTCTAGAGTCATGATATTAAAAAATTTTAAGGTTAAAAATAGTAGATTAAATCCATACCAATGCTGAAATCTAGTTTTATGACAGAATTTGGGGAAGAGAAAGAAGGCTGTGAATTGAACCTCAAAGTCATAAACTATGAATTAGAACAAAGAGAATATCAGCACAGCTAGAAGGTTTAAACCTCAAAGGAAAACATACCTTCTCATGGGGGATGAAGAATAATGGTTGAAGTCCAATTTCTGTCTCTTGGTTTTTATTATTCATGCTACACTTTATAAAACATTTGCTAGAGACACTGAGAAGCAAAGACTACCTATATGATCACACAGAGTGTCAAGTATAAGATGCTTTAGAAAACATGTTGGATTTTCCATTCAGAATCAACCGAAAAGTCAAATGACTAGGAATATCTTAAGAAGCTTTACAGCAGGACACACCATATTCAGGAGTGATGTTGGAGAGTGAAAATTCACATCAAGATGTCTACTCTCACAAACAAGGACGATGGTTAATATTTTCAAAAGAAACAAGGAAGGTAAAAATATTGACCTTTTCTGGGAGAGGTAAAAGGAGGGGAGGATGACAAAAGAGGCCAGCTTTGTGTTCATCATATAAAGATTATTCACAGATATTAGACTAGGATAGTTGTCCTTTGAGAAAGGGTCCCTGTGGTTTTGAATCAAAATGCCCCCCACAGGCTCACAGGCATTATTTGAAAGGATTAGGATGTGTGGACTTTGTTGGACTGCCTGTTGGAGGAAGTGTGTCACTTGGGGTAGGCTTTAAGATTTCAGAAGCCCAAGCCAGAGTCAGTGGCTCACTCCCTTTTCTTGCTGCCTGCTGATTCCAATATAGAACTCTTAGCTACCTCTCCAGCACTATGTCTGCCTGTGTGCTACCATGCTTCTCACCAGGATAATGGATGAAACCTTTGAAGTATAAGCCAGTTCCAATTAAATGTTTTTCCTTTAGAAGGATTGCTATGGTTGTGGTGTCTCTTCACAGCAATAGAAACCCTAAGACAGTCTGGTAATGTATCCTTGGCTGTCCTGGAACTCTTGATATGGAACAAGCTACTATTGAACTCACAGTGATTTGCCTGCCTTTGGTTCCCAAGTGCTATGATTAAACACATGTACTACCACACACACCCAAAGACTTGGATTTCTTAATGTTTAGAGTATTCAGCTCAGTGTTTTGCATAATGTATATACCTTCACATTTAAAAAATTGTAGACATACTCCCCAGTGAGGCAATGGTCAGAAGCAAATGAACTATGAGGGATGCAGGTCTAACAGTCTAAAACAGAGAAAATATAAATGCGTAGGAGGTTATGAAAATAAAGGAATACTAGCATGAAAAACAGAAAATGTGGTTAAAAAGAAAGTAACAGTAACCAGGGGAATAACATATCATGAAATTTTAAAGTTTCCAGAAATAAGTCGTATCAAATATTTTATAATCTTCTGAGATCATCTTTTATTTGTTTATTATTAACCGTAATTTTGAAACAAAATTGAACCACATTTATTACATACTTTTTGAACCCTAACACAAAGTCCCCAAATCTTTCCCCCTAATCAGACCTTTAATATAAAATTTCTATTGCTGGGAGTAATACATACCTTGAACCACCACATCTGGCTTTGGCACAGTAGAAAACCTACGATTCAGGGGATCAATTTCTCCAGGAGCTAAAAATCCCTGAAGAAAATGCACAAAACAAAATTAATAAGCCTCAAAAATAAAGCAAAGGCAATGGAGAGATAGCTCAGAAGTTAAATGGAAAGGGAAAAGGAGGTCAGTACAAAGGGAGACAAAAGGTGAAGGGATAAATAATATTAAGGATGTTTGAAAAGGCCACAGGAACATTTCATGCTTACTTAAACATACATATAGTGTGTGTGTGTGTGAGAGAGAGAGAGAGAGAGGATATATGTGTGTGTATGTGTATGCATGCGCGTGCACACGTATGTGTGTATACACACACGCGCGCGCGTCACACACACACGCGCACACACACACACACACACACACACACTACTGCAATCTCCCTTGGCTGCCTCTTAGAACTTGAAGGTAAGACCCAATAGCTGAGACACCATACAATCAGGAATCAACTGAGCTGGAACTGACCTGAAAGCTTCCTACCTGATGATTAGATCTCTAAATGACAAAAGTGCCATGCAAGCTGCTAAGGAAGAAAACCAATCAATAGTCCTGACCAGCTGTGAAACTATGAACCACAATGACCCCAAGGTCCAGTAGTGGTACATATCTCATGGAAGCAAACAACAGATGTCTAACTGGACTTAAGGCCAACCCAGTATGAAGAAACTCCTTTTGTCTGTGAGGTCCCTGGCCAGCAAGGGGCCCTGATCCTGTATCAGAAGATCCATCGGAGATCATTTGAAGGAAGAGATGGGCAGGCACCAATTCAAGAATTCCTCTAACAATCTGAAAAACAACATGAAAACACCAGAACCCAGCGAACTTACAACAGGAGGACTTGAACACCCTAATCCAGAAGAAGTAGAAAAAATTGACATTATGAAAGTGAAAGAGTCCCTTAAACAGGAGGTGAAAAACTCCCTTAAAGAAATGGATGAGGGGCCGGGCGGTGGTGGCGCACGCCTTTAATCCCAGCACTCGGGAGGCAGAGGCAGGCGGATCTCTGTGAGTTCGAGACCAGCCTGGTCTACAAGAGCTAGTTCCAGGACAGGCTCCAAAACCACAGAGAAACCCTGTCTCGAAAAAACCAAAAAAAAAAAAAAAAAAGAAATGGATGAGAAGAATAACAAAAAGTTTGAAGAAATGAGTAAATCCATAAAAGATACCCTAGGAAACCAAGAAAAAAAAAAACAATCAAACAGATAATGGAAACAGTTCAAGACTTGAAAACTGAAATGGAGGCAATGAAGAAAACATAAACCGAGGGCTGGCTGGATATGGAAAATCTAGGTAAAAGAACAGAGACTACAGAGACAAGTATAACCAACAGAATACAAGAGATAGAAGAAAGAATCTCAGATTCTGAAGACACCATAGAAAAAATAAACGCACTAGTCAAAGAAAACAGCAAATCCAACAAATTCTCATCACAAAACATTCAGGAAATCTGGGACACAATAAAAAGACCAAACCTAAGAATAATAGGTGTAGAAAAAGGAGAATTACAGCTCAAAGGCCCAGAAAATATATTCAACAAAATTATAGAAGAAAACTTTCCCAACCTAAAGAAAGACATTCCTATGAGGGTTCAAGAAGCATACAGAACACAAAATAGACTGGATCAAAAAAAAAAAATCCCCTCGCCATAAAATAATCGAAACACAAGACATACAGAATAAAGAAAGAATATTAAGAGCTGCAAAGGAAAAAGGTCCAGTAACTTATAAAGGTAAACCTATCAGACTTACATTTGACTTCTCTATGGAAACCATGAAAGCCGGAAGGTCCTGGATAGATGTACTGCAGTAACTAAGAGACCCAGACTACTATACCCAGCCAAGCTTTTGTTCACTATCAATGGAGAAAACAAAATATTCCAGGATAAAAACAAATGTAAACAATACGTAGCCACAAATCCAGCCTTACAGAAAGGAATAGAAGGAAAATCACAAACCAAGGAATCTAACAATGCCCACAATAACTCAGACATCTAGCGACTCTTCATGAGCACAACTCAAAGAAGGGAAACACAGACTACTACCCAAAACAACATTAATAAACCGGAGTTAACAACCACTAGTCATTAATATCACTTAATGTCAATGGACTCAATTCACCTATAAAAAGGCACAGGCTAAGAGATTGGATACGAAAACAGGATTCAACATTCTGCTGTTTACAAGAAACACACCTCAACCACAAAGACAGACATCTACCCAGAGTAAAGGGTTGGGAAAAGGGTTTTCAAGCAAATGGACCCAAGAAACAAGCGGGCGTGGCCATACTAATTTCTAACAAAATTGACTTCAAACTAAAATCAATCAGAAGAGATGGAGATGGACATTTTATACTCATAACAAGAACAATTCATCAGGATGACGTCTCAATCCTGAATATCTATGCCCCTAATATAAAAGCACCCACTTATGTAAAAGAAGCATTGCTAGAACTCAAAGGCAGACATCAATCCACACACACTAATAGTAGGAGACTTCAACACTCCTCTCTCACCAATGGACAGATCAATCAGTCAGAAACCTAACAGAGAGATAAGAGAATTAATGGAGGTAATGAATCAAATGGACTTCTATAGAACATTCCACCCAAATAGGAAAGAATATACCTTCTCACATCTCATGGAACCTTCTTGAAAATTGACCACATACTCGGTAACAAAGCAAACTTCCACAGATACAAAAAAAATATTAGTAACCACCTGTGTCTTATCAGATCAACATGGAATAAAGTTAGAATTTAACAATAATTCTACCCCCAGAAAGCCTACAAATTCTTGGAAGCTGAACAGTCAACTACTGAACCACCCCTGGGTCAGGGAAGAAATAAAGAAAGAAATTAAAGTCTTCCTTGAATTCAACGAAAATAAAGACACAACATACACAAACCTATGGGACACTATAAAAACAGTGCTAAGAGGAAAGTTCATAGCTCTAAGTGCCCACATTAAAAAAACGGAGAAAGCTCATATTAGAGAATTAAGAGCACACCTGAAAGCTCTAGAAAAAAAAGAAGCAGACTCACCCAGGAGGAGTAGAAGACTGGAAATAATAAAATTGAGGGCTGAAATCAACAAAATAGAAACACAGAAAACAATCCAAAGAATCAATGAATCAAAGAGCTGGTTCTTTGAGAAAGTCAACAAGATTGACAAACCTTTATCCAAACTAATCAAATGGCAGAGAGAGAACATACAAATTAACAAGATCAGAAATAAAAAGGGGGACATAACAATGGATACTGTGGAAATTCAGAGAATCATTAGTTCTTACTACAAAAGCCTGTATGCCACAAAATTGGAAAATGTAAAAGAAATGGACTTTTTAGATAAGTACCATTTACCAAAATTAAATCAAGACCAGGTGAACAATTTAAATAGACCTATAAGTTGTGAGGAAATAGAAGCTGTCATAAAAAAAAACTCCCAACCAAAAAAAAAAAAAAAAGCCCAGGACCTGATGGTTTTAATGCAGAATTTTATCAGAACTTCCAAGAAGAGCTGATACCTATGCTCCTTAATGAGTTTCACATAATAGAACCAGAGGAGTCATTGCCAAACTCTTTTTACAAAGCTACAGTCACCCTGATTTCAAAACCTCACAAAGACCCATCCATGAAAGAGAATTACAGACCAATCTCACTCATGAACATTGATGCAAAAATTCCCCAATAAAATTCCGGCAAACAGAATCCAAGAACACATTAAAAAATTATCCATTATGATCAAGTAGGCTTCATCCCTGAGATGCAGGGCTGGTTCAACATACAAAAGTCTATCAATGTAATCCATCACATAAATAAATTGAAAGAAAAAACCATATGATCATTTCATTAGATGCGGAAAAAGCATTTAACAAAATTCAACACCCCTTTATGATAAAGGTTTTGGAGAGGTTAGAGATACAAGGATCATACCTAAATATAATAAAAGCAATATATAGCAAGCCAACAGCTAATATAAAATTAAATGGAGAGAAACTCAAAGCCATTGCACTAAAATCAGGAACACGACAAGGCTGTCCACTCTCTCCATACCTCTTCAATATAGTGCTTGAAGTTCTAGCAATAGCAATAAGACAAAATAAGGAGATCAAGGGGATTCGAATTGGAAAGGAAGAAGTCAAACTTTCATGATTTGCAGATGATATGATAGTGTACATTAGTGACCCCCAAACCTCTACCAAAGAACTCCTACAGCTGATAAATAAGTTCAGTGAAGTGGCAGGTTAAAGATCAACTCAAAAAAAAAATCAGTAGCCATCCTATACACAAAAGATAGAGAAGCAGAGAGGGAATTCAGAGAAACTTCAACTTTTACAATAGCCACAAATAGCATAAAGTATTTTGGGGTAACACTAACCAAGGAAGTGAAAGATCAATTTGACAAGAACTTTAAGGCATTGAAGAAAGAAATTGAAGAGGACACCAGAAAATGGAAAGACCTCCCATGCTCTTGTATGGGTAGGGTCAATATAGTAAAAATGGCAATTCGACCAAAGGCAATCTATAAATTGAATGCAATCCCCATTAAAATCCCAACAAAATTCTTCACAGACCTTGAGAGAACAATAATCAACTTTATATGGAAAAACAAAAAACCCAAGATAGCCAAAACAATCTTATACAATAAAGGAACTTCTGGAGGCATTACCTCCATCCCTGACTTCAAACTCTATTACAGAGCTACAATAATGAAAACAGCATGGTATTATAAAAAACGGAGACGTCGACCAATGGAATCGAGTAGAAGACCCGGATTTTAACCTACAAACCTATGAATACCTGATTTTTGACAAAGGAGCTAAAATTATACAATGAAAGAAAGAAAGCATCTTCAACAAATGGTGCTGGCAGAACTGGATTTCAACCTGTAGAAGAATGAAAATAGACCCATATCTATCACCATGCACAAATCTCCCATGCACAAATCTCAAGTCCAAATGGATTAAAGACCTCAATATCAATCTGAACACACTGAAACTGATAGAAGAGAAAGTGGGAAGTACCCTACAACAGAT